CCAAAAATAAATTTCTCCTAAAAAAATATACCCCTGTCAATTTATATTGTATATTGTTCAAATTGAAAAAAAAATCTTATTGCCCTCAACCTCCAGAAATCTTAAGACTTCGAAGATTTTTTATCTTTTGAAACATACATAGAAAGTGAAAAAAAATATGGTTATCTTGAAAAATTTATTTTTACCAATGAAATAAAAAATGACAAGAATTATGGACCAATATAAAACTCACACTTTTATACCTCAAATGTCTAAAACGATTGTAGTAACCAACATGATATAAACTGCTGCGAAAATTTTTAAAAAAAATTCTGGTGGGGTGTCCACGTTTTCAGCAGGAAAGTAGCTTTTATCTAAATCATCCTCCTTGTATCAAATAATTATGTATTATTGAATAATTCATTCATAAACAGGTATATCCTGAAAATTCTTAAAAAGTCATTGCATACTACTCAATAACTTTCAGCATGGATTTCATTATAATATATCAGTCATAACTGTTTTTCCTTCGGGAAAATTGCGGGTTTTTCTAAACATATTCTAATGAAATCGAATATTACGAAATTTATACCATCTCACTATCGTGTTCATTACAAAAAGTTGAGTGGCTGGTAAGTTGCTGGTAACAAATTTTACATACTCTCTGTGTTACAACATAGATTGTATCTGTAACAAAGTATTCATTCAATACTTCATTGTAAGAATTTCACTGAACTGTTTACAAAACAGCAACACGTGTTTCACTATACAATAGCTTCTTCAGACATGTCGCAGTTTTGTAAATTATTCAGTGAAAATCACAATAAAATGTTACCTGAGATATTACGGATTTGCATTAGTATCGGCCAATTCCGTCATATATCTAACAATGGTAAATGATTTGTTTCAACTGACATTGATTCCTTGATGACAGCACTAAACTTGTGATAGTGTTAATATTGTATTTCAATAACAACTGTTTTTGTATTTATGATTTCAGTTGCAATTTATTCTATCATTTTTAAATGTATTACTACTACAGTGTACAGTTGATGTGTCAAATATGCTTAATTTGTAATACAAAGTTCGTTTCTTACAATAAAAAACTGTTTCAATATTTTTAAGTATCTCTTCAAAAAAAGGTAAAATAAATATGTTAGGTACACAACTTTATATAACACTTCATCATTATTTCAATAAAGTACTATAAAATGCTTTATCCAAAACAGTTTCTAAAGCTATCTAGTGTTTGAGTTTTTGAATTGATGATGTTAGTATTCGTAGGGTGCGATAGCTAGTTAACGGAAAAAACATATTTTAAACTTAAAGTTATTAGTAAAGGCGATGACAGCTCCCCCTACGAAGATGCCATCTGTAGCATCGACTCAATCCTCAAATATCAATGATAAACAAGACTACCCAAGTTATATGTACAATTTCATTCACTTTTTCTACACTCACCTATCCATAGCTGGTCTAACATCTAAAAGGGCGAATTTATATTTATCATCTACTGATCCTCCATCATAATAATCGATAACATATCGAACTTCTTTCCCACATCTGTCAACTATCCAATCATGTCTGTCGAATGGTAGTTCGTACCCCATAAGTTGTCTCATTCTTGCTCGAGGACTATAATCTGTTGCTTTTCCTCCAAAACTTTTCAGTCTATGAAATGGAAAAAAAAGTTAAAGTTTATGTCACAAATTTTTCATCTGAAATCAGTTAAACTGAATGTAATATATATAAACATTATATGTGTATCCATTTTGACATACGTAAACCCCCCTCTTGGAATAGAATCAGGTAAGCAACTGAATTAGAAAGAACCTAAAAATATGGGCTGGCCTTTTTCATATTCAACCATGCAGAATTTTTTCAAGTTTGTGGCAGTTAATAGCCACATATTTTTTCAACTCTTTCATCGATATGGAGATAGATTTAAAGGCAGTAGGTAGGTTGTTGCACAAATTGAGGCCAAGATAGGATATGAATTTTTAAATATGAGTGAGTCTGCAATGTGGTACATTCCTTCTGTGACTTATACTTCGGGTACTGTATGAATGTTGTGCAAATGTAATTGGCGAACTGGCAATCCAAAATAAGCAAAGGAAAGTTATGTAACGCCTCTGTACAATATCGCCTTTTCTATTGAAACATGATTTTAATTAGTGAGTTCTGCATCATTTCTAAGTTATGTAGCGAAGTCTTAAAGATTCCAGCCCACACAATACAATACGCACAATGGACTCTGCCAAGGCATCATACACAGCCATCATTTTGAACGAGTTTATGTAATTTATTCACTATATTTTTTAATATGTTCTGTGCACTGTTACACTCAAATATATCATTGAATCTGATATTTATATAGAAGTACAAGTGCAATTATTATTATTATTACAACTATCAATGTTTGAACAAGAATATCAATGAACTTTGATATTTTCTACAGTTGGTTGACTTTCATTTGCTGAGGAAAAAGCAATAAATTTTATTTCATTCACATCAACACTCTGTAGGTTACTACTTAACAGGTTGGAAATTGTTTCTCAAGTCCTGCATCTGCCTGTATGTCCTTCCAACAAAAGAAATCGCCGTATTAAAAGCAAATGATATAATCATGGAGATGACTAAGTCACTTAGTCCAACTAAGACTCTTAGTCATTTCCTGATGATGCTACTTTCTTTAGCGAAACGCGCGCCGAAATACAGCATTTTGTTTTGTTTTGTCTGAAAATTATTTTTCAGGCAGAAATATAATCAGTCTATTTCTATATTAGTATATTAATTCAACTGAAACACACCTGGGATCTTTACACTCATTGTAATGAAGTGCTTCCCATTTCAATACTTCTTGCCATGCTTGTTCATTATTAGCATTGTGGATTTTAATGATATTATCCATATCTTTTTGTTTAATGTCCTCTTCCTTCCATCGCCAACCTTTTCTCAGCATAGCATTCCAGAACATCTAGAAATTGAAATAATCTTTCAGATTCAATCTAAAATAGTCACATCAAAAATTTTAATAACGCTTTATGGTAATAGATTGACCTGATAAATGATTCAAATTAATAGAAATTTATGTACCTACACAGAAATTAAAAATCAGTCCAAATCTATTTCATCACTTCCAATATAGCAGTCTCTACAAGAAAATCTCGTAAACAGTGAGAGATGGAAAGTCAATCTTATTTTAGGAAAATTGATTACTTTCAAGAATTATTGAATGAAAACACAGAATCGAATCTAAGTCTTTTGGCTCTGAAGATATATCAAAATATGTGATGGAATTAGTCGATATTTGATGAAAATACATAACGTTTTCATGCGAGTCTATACTTCAGACACACCTGAACTTTTATGTATGCATGATACTCCTAGTTTCAGATCAAAAGTGTCTTCCTCTACTAGAAAGTGCAAACTCCAATCCTGAACTAGATATATTTTGCACCAACTACATGTTTTTCTACCGTATAGAATAACTCATCAAAGCGTTTCCTAGTGAATCCATGCCAAAAAAGTTTCGATTTTTTTTTGTAAAGTGAACAGTAGAGACAGTTCAGTTGATCTATGGTTCAACCATCAAGGGAAGCGGACCTTCTATAGCCGTTCTCATTGATGGTCATGCGGACAGTTCATTTTATACACGTTTCTTCATTTCATTGTGTCAACATCTACCGCGTGAAGTATATGCATTGCAATCTTATACATATATAAAATATCCGCTGTGATACGATTAATGCAATGAATGCAATGCAATGCATGCAATGAAAAAATTTGAAGCACTCAAAGTATCACTTCGAGTGAGACATATTGAATATAACAGGAAGGGTGAAGATCGAATCTCCTACTTTGAGTAATACATCTTAAATGTATGATCGGATCTCCCAATAATTCAATTCCAACGATAATTTAATGTAATTGATTGTTTTTTCGTGTATATTTACCTATTATTCAGCAAAATACAATAACAGGTTGGTACTACATATCTTACAAGGTTTATACGGAGTTGTGTTACCTGCGGGCTTGGATATGTCCAGAATTGACTTTCTCCTTCCTTGACTATAGCCTTCGGAATTGTAGAAACTTCCCTATGGGTTGATAATGGAAAAGGTTGACCTGGAGAAGGACTTTGATTGGCAGGACCCATCTATATTTTGAAGAAAAAAAACACATTTATAAACTTGTTCATTTTTCAATTATGGAGTATAATTGATGGAAATATCCATCAAAATTAATCATTGATTTGATAGTAATGCTTCTAGGATGATTCAACTCAAAAGAGCAAAGTTGTAGATTATATTGTTTCAGAACCAAACTATAACAAAAGAAATCCAGATCAATAATTGAAAGAAAATTTAAAAATCATAAACTCTAAGAAATCAGCCACATCCTTTTTTTATATGTATTCACAGCACCATTGAGGATAATAGTGTTTCATGTGACATTTTATATCAATAATTCATGATATATCATATCGTGTAGCATTCCTATGAATGAAATCTGCTTTAACTCTATAACAAATTTTTGTAGTGGAAACTGAATGGGGAAAAAGTTATTTTCATTTAATTCAATGTTCTTGTGAAAGAAGTTGTTTCATAAGGTTTTTTATTCAAGTTTGTATCCAAAAGAAACGTGTGAGTGTGATCTACACATCTTAATGAAGATTTATTGTGTTTATTTTCATGCTTCCTTTTTTTGAAGTTCCCACATTTTTTGTTCAACGACGGAAAAGTAGAAAGCCAAAAAGCTTTTTTCCCAAAAAATTAATCTCTTCAAAATCTTTTAAATAGACCACAGTCATTACATAGTGTTTCGGAAATAGAGTATGTACTTATGCAAAAAACTTCGAAAAAATTATAAAATAAAATGTGGGTTATCAATTCAATTTCAGTCATACGATGAACATATCAATAGGATATTATGATAACTTTCAACTGCACTCCACAAATATAAATTGTTCAACTAAATGAATATATACACAGTATATAATTTGACAAATTTTTCAATTGCTACAAAGTGTGAAACTAGTATTGAGATCTCTACCGAAACATGTGAAATTGAAAAACTTTCCGACTGCAATTTGACTGTCATTCGAATTGACTTCGTATATAGTACAGTGTTCAACAGTAATCATAAGATTTGTCAAATTATTTCAATCATAGAAGTTTAATGGGCATTCATAGTTAACTTATGGTAAAACTGACCAGTTAGTCAAGTCAAATATTAGGTAAGTAGAGGTTATGCTTTACCTCATACCATTAGCTTTTTTCTGCACTGTAGTAAAACTTTTGTCATTTGCATATTTCAGTGATAAATCTTTGTTAAATAACACTTGATTTATAGATTTAAAAGTATGAATTTCCATGTCGTTTTAGTACAAACTTTATTCATACTTAATTAGAGGTTTTGTGATGAAGAAATTGTACTACAAATGTCGACTTGTTATTCAGATAGAATTGAGCGTTTGTTAAATATATTTCACCCTATTGACTCTGTGATCACAACATATCAAATTTGCATGTTCTCAATTAGCTCCAGTTTTTAAATCATTGCTTTTTCAACCTAAGATTTCTGTATTTTAACAATTCATTTATTGTTATCAACATACAAATAATTGTTAGTAAGTATAGTGTTAGTTTACTATGAGTGATCCATGAAATGAACACATGTCTTATGCATTAATGATACATTACCTAAGGATCGATGAGATGCATTACCTATCTATAAATCTACCTTGAGCTGTACAGCAACACCAACAATTTATTCTAATTGAAAACACAACAAACCCAAAATAAAGTATGTACCTTAATGTAATACTCTAAGTGAAATCAGGAAAGCCATAACTATAATACACGTTTTAATTTGCCAATTAATTTCTGTACAAGAAATATATTCTTGACCTATACCTAAACTTTGGTGAACTAAGTACATTTTTGTATCAAAATATCAAATTTGGAAAAATATCTTAAATTTTTTCAGCAAACATTTCATCAAGTTACTATTCAAGTGGATTTGTATGCTGTAAATTTATTCCATATTGTAGTTACCATATTCAAAGGATTTAACTCATCGCTCATTCCTCCAACAGGACATTCCGAACTAAATGTCTTCGATTTGGACTTCTGATGCATCGGACATTCTGGGGGAATTTCTCCCTCAAATTTATGGATATCTATATGACGATGTTTTTCAATGGGATCATTTGGGCGGAGTATTTGTGCTGCAGCAATCTCTGCAGCTGAAACCGTGTTTCCCATTATATCAAACAAAAAGCTGGAGAATTGTTCAAAATGAGGCTGAAAAATGATACAACTTTTGAGTGCTAAAGGATCTGTTGTGGATATTTCAGGTTAAAATTATATAATAAGTATTTCTATCGATTTTGCTATCTACTGTTGAAATTTCTTTACCTTCCTTTAAAATCTAAAATAGTAAGAGACTGTTATTGCCTTATTTCAAAGTCATCGAAAAATAGGTATTAGTTTGCCTTCAGTTGAAATTTATTACATATTTTGTGCTCAACTGTATTGAAAGGATAGAATTATAAACTAACCAAAAATATACAGACAGAAGACAGTAGCGATGACAAATGACAAGACAAGCGACATTAAACTGCTAAGACGAGTTCTTAAATTCAACATTAATCGATCATTATCCTATATTATTCTATAATAATGGATGTGTCGATCGATTCATAGTTCATGAATGCAAATAGAATGAATTGTTGGAATAAAAATATTTACATTTGCAAAAAAAATCAATCAAAGACATTTTTCCCACGTCAGAACAAAAAAAACTCTCCCTCGGGGCGCATTCTTCAGCAAATCGAGTGACGATTGTCTGTTTTAATGCAAAGTATCTAGTGGATACTATTCAAATAATATTCCTTCATAGAGAGAATAAGTCGCTACCAGACTCCTCCCACGTAACTCGCATCAGATTAATTATTCCTTCAATCGATATGTTTGTGAATCATTTCTTCATTGATTTCATTTCGATTAAACTCTTCTGCGGCTTTTTCAATTTTTCAGATGCTCCTCGTTGATTGGTTCCTTTATCTGATATGGAAACATATCAAACTTTAGGTTATTTCATGATATGTAAATATAACATTATATCGTGTCATTGTTAGTCCATCTCAACGTACGTGAAAGATTTACCGTTAGTGTTTTCTTCGAAAGTTGTTCCATTATCAGTTCACACGTTCTACATTTGTTCACTTTGAAATACTGATAATTAGTAAATACAGATTCAACGACTGGTCATTTATCGATCACCAAGTATTTTTTTTTTCTGATAACATTCAAAACGGTCCCGAATCCTTGGAGTGAAGATTTCTCGTGGTAACGTTGAATTGTCAGTTTTGTGAGAGGGTGTTTTATAAGGGTCTCTGAAGTCTTTCTCAAAGTTTCGAAATTGAAAAGCCGTAGGTACTAAGTTTACTATGTTTTTGACTGATTTACTTTTTCCAATAAATCAATGCCCTCTAAGAAAGTCTAGCGTTGGTAATAAATATAACGTTAAGTCTAGAAGCTGAGAAGCTTCTTCTAGTTCTCCAATGTTCCGAAAAGGGTGGTTTTTGTCTCATTTAAATTCTTATATAGTGAGTTTAATTCATCTAATTCATTTCAGTAATTCAATCCATTTAGAGAATCTTTATAAGTCCGGTAGAGAAGAATAATGTGTTGTAGAGATAAGTTATATTTTCTCTTTTTTTAAATTCAACATGGAGTTAGTGAATTATCTACTGGAGATTCAGGTAATTGTCAAAAAATATATTTTTCTGAAGTACCATAAAAATGAGTTTTGTATTAGAAAATACAAGAAACTCATGTAATATATTTATTTCTTTTTAGGACAAAACAAAATAATTGGCAGGATTTCTTAATGAAACGAACCCTTTCAATTATTTTCTCAATCGACAAGAGTTTAAGTATTTTGAAATTGTTCATTCTATATTAATTGAAGTAGACTGCACGGATATATTTTTTAGCGATATCAGTTACGCTTTATATATGTTTGTTTATTCTGAAGTACATTAGCCCATTGGTAAGAAGCAGAAAGCCAAAATTTTCTTTTCCCGATTAACTTTAAATATACTATAACTAGGAAGGTTGAATCAAGTATCAATTTATTTTACTTTCATAATAAGTTAATTGATGGAACATCACAAACATTCCATCTCAAACGATTTTGTATCTAACTACTCATTAAACTCTTGACCCATTTCATTCGCTTTTCAGCCGTAGATACGGCTATCAAATTAAGAAACACTCTATTGTTCAGAAATTATAATATTGCCAAGACCTATTTGGAAAAATATTTCTATAATGATCACACACACACAATTTTGTAGTACAAACAATTGAATAAATTTTTTTAACAATTGTCAAGGTAAATTGACTTGATATCTAGATATATATCTATTGCTAAACAATTGCGATTATTCTGTCATTGTTATATGGAAATTTGCATTATTAGGGACCGAAACTTCTTTTCATCTTCCTTGAGGGAAAGCATAAAGAATTAGGTGATTATATTTCTCTTTTATTATCTAAAGTTGTGGAAAATATATAATTGAACATTATTAAATGGAAAACCCCATTCAAATGAAATACTTCCATAGTGAGAATTATGTTACATTCTTAAATGCCCTTCTGCATATCGTTGATGATATCTGATATGACAGTGACAAATAGGTTCGCACCGCTTTTCTCGATTTTAGTATAGCTTGTGACATTTTGAATCTTGAACTTGTACATGCAATTACATTACGAGATTGTCGGTAAACGCGTGTACGAGGATAAAAGGATATATTGATATCCATTTGGCCTAGATAGATTCCGTAGATAAACAAAATATTAGGTTACCGTATCGACGAAGAATAACTTTATTTTCATTCTTTTCCATATTTTGTCGTTTTATTGGATATTTTTGATATAAAAAAGTAGATAATTCTGTCAATAATTCAAGAAGAACTGCCAAACTTAAAAATAAAGAATTATAGTCTCAAGCAGCTGAGTAATGAATTATTTTCAAGTACCTGTTCCATATAGGCGTACCTAATTAGGTCGGTTGAAAAGTGAAAAATGTATAAGGCAGTTCGTAGTTGACAATTGATGGAATAATGTCAGAGGTCATTCCCAGAATGCTGTGACTTCCAGTGTCAGCCAGGAGTCTAGTGTTCTCTGCATTACATTGCTTTATGCCATTGGCGATGTTCACAAGTCTATATGCAATCGATCTAGCCTCTCCCTCCAGAAAAATGTGGAGAGGAGGTGGTTCTAGAAGAATCACCCTCCAGAAAAATGTGGAGAGGAGGTGGTTCTAGAAGAATCACCATGACACGGTGTGGTACTGATGGCACCACATATAGCTAGACAGACCTGCCTCTATAAGCCAGAGAGCTTCACCTGAGCGGTTTCCTGTAAAGCCTTCGGCCACCAGGCAGTTGCCCCATAAGTGATTATTGGTCTGACAATCATCACATATATCCAATGGATTTGTTTGGGACCTAAACCCTAAGTTTAACCAGAAATCTTTCGACATGTCCATAAGGACAGTCTCGATTTGTGTGAAACTTTTTCCAATTGAGCGTTCCAGATGAGTTTTTTTTATCAAGGACACTGACAAGATAGTTCACCTCAGTCCCAAATGGAATGAACTCACCATTGAGGGAAAGTGGCGTTGCTCCTCCTGGTGAAGGGGATTATCACAGTTTTGCTGGAGTTGACAGACATCTGCTCCCTCTGGTACCAACTGTGAACCACGTCCATCGTACTTTGGAAGATATTACATGCTACCCTTCCCGTGGACCTTGCTGAAAAGACAAGGTCATCTGCATAGGCTTGCAGATCTTTTTCTCTTCCAAAGAGGGCAACAAGTAGACAATCCATCAGGATCGACCACAGATTGACCACAGTAAACTATACTTAGTATGTGAATAAAAATGGCTACTTCAGTTTTTTCTCCAGTGAAACAAATGAGCAAATATGATTTTTATGTAAACGAAAATATTATTATTCTTATTGTACAAGACATTCTCATTCACCGAACTCCTTCGTATACTGTTGGTACTCTTATGGAAATGTTTTCGCTGACGGGAGTTTCATTTATATATAAAGTGTATTTTGATGAAAAATACAGACTTGCAATTAAAAAAAAACAGTACAATCATTTCATTTTAAGAAAGAATAACCGACCCTCGACAAAATAATGGGAACTTCGAACGCTGGGAAAAACTAAACAAAAAATTATGAAATTATTCGCTGCAGAAGACATAACCTAAGGCAGATTTTTAACGTGGGAATAGAAATATTTATTACCTGTACGAAACTTGGTTTCAATAAGGATATACCATTAGAAAGACAAAAACAGAAAGCTGGTCTTTTAGATTAAAGTCGCCTTCTAGAAAAGGAAAGCGAGTGATTATTACCCACATTGAGGGCGGTATATTGATGTTTGAGTCAAAGCATTCTGCGACCTAACTCTGTGATTGTGTTGGATAAAGCGGGTTATCATTTCAGAGAAGTTGAAAGAATACCAACTAATTCATGGAGAAAAGCGGATATCATTCTTCTTTCATTTCTTCATGAAATATGTAGTATGTAGTTGACAAGATGTCACAGAAACGAATTATTATTTTTGTGCGTCTGCCCCTTTGTCATTGAGAATTTATCCCATTGAACACGTTTGGGCTCAAGTGAAGAGTTTCGATGCAAGAAGAAACACGACACTTGGAATAAAAGATGTCAAAATACTCTTTAAGGAGACCTTATAAAATTTTGATTACAAAAAATGGAGAAAATGCATGAAGAGGATTACATGTGGAAATTAGGCCATTTAAAAACATTTCTGCAAATGTCTGAATGTTGATGAGAAACAAAGCCCAGAAACAGAGCTACCATTGATGGAATACGGAGACCCTGCTTCTCCACGGACTAAGTGATTTCGATTTCAAAAATCTGCTGTCGTGCTTTAGTTTTTTGGTACTGTTATGCATCTTGCATTGCAAACAATTCGTGACATTGGGTTCGAATTACTTACACCAGATTTGGCTCCGTTCGATTATCATGTCTTTCCTCAATTAAGAAAAGTCTAAAATTTACAAATTCAAGTTGTAAATTATTTCATTATTAGTATTATTAGCATTATAGTGTTATCAATTTTCATAAAATGGAGTGATCCGTTAACTCCATAAGATGCAATTTTGAACAGATTGCAAATTTTTTTTTAGCAGTTATGCCTTGCGGTACGTGATCCGCACTGTATACTATTTTGGTACTTATTATTGGCATGAATCATCTCCGTTTTGATTCATCCACATTATTAATAACCAAAAAATGAATATCACCTACAAGAATATCTTCCATTGTTGAATATCCCAACAACCGACAAAAAATAATTTTTCGATCGTAGTTCACCTGTTTCCCAACAATAAAAAAGTATGAGCCATAAAACAGTCGGTTCATTGCCAATCACTTAAAATTACATGTTTTTTTGCAGTGTCCATTCAAATCCAACCTTGATAAAATCAAATACTTAGTTCTTCGGTTACTTCTTCAGCTCCGGGCGGATCATTCAC